ACACAAACATACATATACATATATATATATATATATATATATATATATATATATATATATATATATATATATATATATATATATATATATATATATATATATATATCTCTATCTCTCTCTTTTATATATAATATATATTTTTTTTTATTTCTCTATCTACATATATATCTTTTTTTTATTATATATATATATATATATATATATATATATATATATATATATATATATATATATATATATATATATATATATATATATATATATATATATATATATATATATATATATATATATATATATATATATATATATATATATATATATATATATATATATATATATATGGGAATGGTTTTGGATTTCATTATAAAATGAATTAAATGTTTCATGATGCAATATGCATGATAGATGAGATGCCATTATACCCCTAAAGTATGGTCAAATTACGAAAACCCCCCTATTGTTTGGGTAATTGCAACCACCACCTTCAATTATATATTTTCTTATACGTTCACTATTGTGGTTTCAAATTTAGTGAAATCTTCTAGATTATATGGAATATGAATTTTGTACCCGTTTTATCCCGTTTAAGATCCACATTTTGAAGCAACACGATCATAAGATGTGTTTTTTGGCTTGTAAAAAATGAGATTGTGGTGCATAAAATACTGTATTTTTGCACTAAACGAGTACAAACTAAATAACATTCCACGGAATCTAGAAGATTATGTTGAATTCGACATCATAAGGGTGGAGGTGTAAGAAGATTCATAGTTGAGGGGTAAATGTATCCAAACAGAAGGGGTTGTTTCGTAATTTTCCCACACATTAGGGGTGGTTGAAATTTACCCTATTAGTATTATATTGAATCTTTGGTTTAATTACGTTAACGTGTAAGAGAAAGTTCTTTATAGGGGTTTTTTCTTTTCTTAAAATCTTAAAATAATGTAGTTTATTAACTGTAATGAATTGGAGTACGATCCTTTGATTATTTTAAAATATAATTCTAAGCATCACTCGTGAGTTTATATTGGCTTACTTTTTTCTGGGCAGTCTGCTCCCAAAGCTCAACCCCTCAACCTAGCAATTCAAATACTTAACGCGTATTCTATATATAATAAGTTGATTTAATTATACTCTGATTTATACGTACATATTTTATTAATATGTATATATATAGCTAAATGCACTGAAGTCGTCTACACCTCAAATCTAACACATCCAATATAATAATAGTATTCAATTATCTGAATACCCAAATCATCTCTATAAAAATAAAATAAAACATCCAAGCATCAGATTATCAATCATCAAAAAAAAAAAAAAAAAACAAGAAGAAGAAGAAGAAGAAGAAAAAATCACATTTATCTTGGCCTGCATGAGAAATACGCACGGAACGCAATCTGCCGTAGACTCACCCAATGCCCAATCTCAAAGGTATACGCCACGCCTTTCTTTTGAGCGACGTGTTTGAATTGTGATTTTTTTTTTTTTTTTTTTTTTTATGTTTATAATTGAATCTAGTTTATGTAGTGAGGAGGAGGAGGCAAGGCGAACCCCGATGCTCATGTACGTGATGACATACATGTTTCCTAGTATTACGACTGGACTTGTCATATTGAAATATCACGACAATCCAGACAAAGTATTCGTGGACAACGTTGTACCATTGTGGTGTTTTATCGCGTCTACTGTCGTTTATTGGCTAATAGCAGAAGCAATGAAGAAATTAACGCTAATAAAATCCGACGGTAATTGGTTTCT